ATTTCTGAAACAACTTTGAACTCTTATTTAAATTTTCGAAATTTGTCAGCAAATTCCTTTGGAACCAAGCAGAATTTTTGCAAGATCACTTTTTTTAAAATTAATTAACGTTTGTTCGTTTGTTTTTTGTCGGACTTCACGTTTTATGTTTGAAATGTATTTCTTCCAATTAGTTAAGAATGAAAAAGAGAATTTAGGGAGTCCTAAGTTTCTCGAACTTCATTAATATCTTTCTATTCGATGTTCTTCAGTTGAAAAACATCATCAAGAAATAAAATCTCTCAGAAGATCCAACGCATCGAATTATACATTACGGGTCAATATTATCGTAAAAAGGATCGTAAAAAAAGATTCACCCCCATTTCTGCAATTAAAAATATGTTCAATTTTTTTGCAAAGAAACTTTACGATGAACCTTGGCTAAAATGAATAAAATTAGAAAGAATTACAGAAACTTAGTTTCCGAAAATTTTTTTCAATAAGTGTTTTGAAATCGGTTATTAATGACCGAGACTTTCAGCACCCTTTTTTGGACCCTTTTTTGAGCCTTTTTGAGCCTTTTTGGACCCTTTCTGGACCCTTTCTGGACCCTTTCTGGACCCTTTTTGGACTCTTTTTGAAGCCTTTTTGCACCCTTTTTGCACCCTTTTCGGACCCTTTTTGCACCCTTTTTGCATCCTTTTTGCACCCGTTTTTCACCCTTTTTTGAAGCTTTTCAGCCCAGCAAGAAAGAAAGGCTCAATAAAGGCCGCAAAAAGGAACCCTTTTAGAGGCCATTTTGCGTCATTCTTTTTATTTTAATGAGGCCTTCTCATTGTTTTTCCTTCGATATCGATTTTTTAAGTATATACGAGCAAAAAAGGCCGCAAAAAGGGTCCCTTTGTCGAGCCACCATTTTTTCTGGGATTTTAAAGGCTCAAGAAATGGCGGAAAAGGGAGAGGCTGCAAAAATGGTGCAAAAGGGCCGATAAAATGGTGCAAAAAGGCAGCAAAAAGGTAACTTTTTTGCCTATGAAACTATAAAAATTCTCTCAAATATTTCCCAGAAATCCATCTTTCAAAATGCCTTCTAAACAGCCCTAATCTCATTTCAACACACGAAACGAAACTTTCTCGATTTCCTTATCAAATTATAATGCAAAAAATGGCTAGTCCAAGTTTTCTCGATAAATATTTGCGTACGTTAATCGCATCTACGAGTGGGATTAAGCTGCTGGAAAAAATCTCTCTACTAAAACAATCGAAGATTTTTTTTCGCTTAAAAAAACTCGTGAATAAGAATTAGTCATTGGATTAATCCGCTTACACATCCAAAATGAATCATTTTCTTCCGAACAGAAATTTTCATTTCCTGGTTTTTGTAAACATCGTAAATTTAGCTTCATAATCAAAAAATCAAGCTTTGAAGTCTATTTTCACGATTTTCACAACAAAAATCCAATCAAACATGTTTATTTTCGAAAAATAGCTCAAAATAACGAAATAGAAGCAAAAGCCAGAGAAAAAAGAGCCTAATAATTAGAAAAACAAGGGCGCTCCATTGATAAAGTTCATTTTAACTTTAACCTTGAGAGCTATCTTCACTGGTAAATGAACTGGCTCCTCAAAAAAAAAGCGCAAAGCAGTTGCAACCGACCAAAAACGAGTTACGCGCCGAAGGAATTAAAAAAAATTTTTTTTTCGTTGTTGCAGAAAGGCGCATTATAATAAGGCTTTTAAATCAAAAAATCGAGCATAGTTCTCTTTTTCCTGTTTTCACAACGAAAAACCACCCAAATGTGTCTTTATTTTTGGAAAATGAGCTCAGAGGGTGAAATAAAAAGTGTGTGAAAAAAGAGCCTCAATAAAATAAAACAAGTGCGCCCCATTGATAATATACATTTTCGAATTTCCCACTTCTCTTCCCTCAAAATACCGTGATTGTCAGTGATATGGCTCCTCAAAAAAACGCGCAAAACCGTTGCAACCGACCAGAAACGACTTGCGCTTGGAGAAGATTTTTGAGTGGATTTTTTTCAAAAATTAAAAAAATTTGTGATTTTTTTATATTTTTATATTAGATTTTATATCATGGAAATGAAAAAAATAAGGCCTATTTCATTAAAAAGAAAAAGCTCAGAATGATAAATAAAAAATATGAGAAAAAAAGCCTCACTATAATAAAACAAGTGCGCTCCATTGATAATATTCATTTTTGAATTTCCCCACTTCTCTTCACTCAAAATATCGTTACCGTAAGAGATCTGACACCACAAAAAGCTGCAAAGCAGTTGCAACCGACCAGAAACGACTTGCGCGCGGGGAAAAATTTTTTTGAGTGGATTTTTTTAGAAATTGTGATTTTTAAAATTTCATATTAGATTATATTTCATGAAAATGAAGTAATTAGGTCCAAATCATTGAAAAAAACCTAATCAGCATCTTCCCACGGGGACCAATTTCCACGAATAATTGAGAAAAAAACTGAGAAAAAAAGCTGGAAAACAAAAGGATATATATATATATATATATATATATATATATATATATATATATATATATATATATATGTATATTTTTCGAGAATGGCTCTTTTCGAGAGCCTCGCTAATTGATTCGCCGGCCGGCCTCGCTCATTTCCTGCCCATTTTCCGGCTCAAATCCCAGGCCGCCGGTAGAGAGTTTTCCTTCTCTTCTTTCTTTTTCCGCGTCGGCAAGTTCAAATGAGCCAAAGTCCAAGCTTCTCCTAATTCCTGCCCTTTTTTTTTCGCTTCTATTCTTACTGACAACGTGAATGACGGCTTTTGTTTGGTGACACTTCGATGCCTCGATATGGTAAGTTCGCTCTATTGATAAATTTTTTTGAGAAAAAATCGCCTTTTTATACGATTATATTAACCGAGAAACTGCGCTCTATCGCGAAAAATGCCTTGATATGGTAAGTTCGCTCTATTGATCACTTTTTTTGAGAAAAAATCGTCGCAATTTTTTTCTCGTACGATTATATTGACCGAGAAAGAGCGCTCCATTGATAACTTTCTTTGAGAAAAAATCGCCGTTTTCTTTTCGTACTGACCGAAAAAGTGCGCTCTATCGAGAAAATGCCTCGATATGGTAAGTGCGCTCTATTGATAATTTTTTGAAAAAAATCGCTTTTTTGTACGATTATATTGACCGTGAAAGTGCGCTCTATTGATAAATGTTTTTGAGAAAAAATCGCCGTTTCTTCGTACGATTATATTTGACAGAGAAAGCGCGCTCTATCGAGAAAATTTCTGAGATAACTCTAGAAAAGCGGACTTTTTAAAAATTTTATTTTTCTTCTTGCATAATTGAACTGTTGGCTTTTTCACCTTGGAAAATGCGCCATATTGAAAAAATAATGAAACAGCTTGAGCTGAAACACTTCGAGAGTAGTTTTTTGGCAAATAAGTCAATCCACGGCTTTTTTGGGGTAGAAAGTTCGCTCTATTGATAATTTATCGAAAAAATTGTGCTCTGAGATTTTTGGATTCATCTGAACAAGAAAAAATGCTCTCAGGGCTTTTCCTAGGTTTCCTACGTCGTAGTTCATATCAGGCTATTTTTCACATGTCAAGCGTGCTCTGTTGATAACTTTTTGGAATAAAAATTTTTTCCCCCTGTATCGATGATTTTCGACGATTATTGAAATGGAGAGTGCGCTCTATTGATCGGAGAATTTCCAATGTGAATAAAGAAAGCTCTAAAGGCTTTTTCTATGTTCCCAACGTCTTTATTACCATTAAGCTATTTTTTAAATATCAAGTGCGCTCCAATGATAACCTCTGGGAGAAAAATCGCCGACACTTCTTGAGAATTTTTTTATTCTTATCGATTATCTTTGGCCCTTTTTACATGGGGAATGCGCTCTATCGAGAAAACCTCGACAAATCTTGACCTGGACCTAATTTCGCGAGGATCAGCCTTTTCTCGGCTTTTTTTTGAGATGGAAAACTTGCTGCATTGATAATTTCCCACGGAGGACTTTGTATCAATATGGGCAAAAAGAATGCTCTCAAGGCTTATTTTCGAGATTCGGCCATTTTTTACATGTCAAGTGTGCTCCAATGATAAACTGCGGATGAAGAATCATTCTTGGAGAATTTTGAATCGATATGAGCAGGAAAAAAATGCTGTCAAGACTCTGTATGGTTTGACTACCCTCAGGCTATTTTTTACACGTCAAGTGTGCTCCAATGATAAACTCTGGGAAAAAATCGCCAACACTTCATTAGCATTTTTTCTATTCATATCGATTATCTTTGGCCCTTTTTCACATGGAAATAAGCCGGAAGGGAATCATGGTTCTCAAAATTTCATTCCGAAAAATCGCAAATATCTGAAACTAGGTGTTGCCCAAAGAAGGAATATCTCCGGCTCGTCGTCCCTTTTGCACTCCAATTACGTAATTTACAACCTTTTTCGTCGCCGAGCCGAGCACAAATGAGCCCCCCTTCTCACACGTACACAGAAAGAGAAAAACTTGTGGATTGCTCCGATTTCCCGACTATTTTTATTCCCCGTTTTTCTTGTCCCCAACTATTTTTCAGTGGATTCAAGGTCGCAGCAGGTTGAGAAAATGGAGAAAAACTGAGGAAAATTCGAAAAATTCCATTGGTTTATTTTTTTATTTTGAAGTAATTTTTACCTATTTTTCATTTTCATAATGATTTTAGGACGGTGTTGGGTTCAAGGAAGCCGAAAAAAACGAAAAAAATGAGAAAAATCGGTGAATTTTTGGTATGAAATTTGTAAAGCCTTACTAAAAAAATGGTATTATTTTTCAACTATCTTGCAATTTTTTTCTTGAAAAAAATGCATTTTTTAAAAAAATTTTTTTCATATCATTTCCTGTTCAGAAAAAAACTCAATAAACGGAAAAAAAAGACAAAATCCCGAGCAAATTTCCAAAAAAGAGCAAAATAAGAGTTTTACGTCGATTAATACCGCAGTATTGTGCTTTACCGAAGAGTTTCATGCGATATATATAAATCCATCAGATGTTCTATGCGTGTATGGCGATACTGCTACTGTTCATGATCATGTGTTCTTGTGTCACTTTGGCCATCATCGACCTCGAAATGTACAATTTCGGACTCTATATCGTTTTTGTTATGTATTGTTGGTCAGTTTCTCTCCGATTTTCCTATAAAAATATTGCAAAAAAAGAAATCCCGTAAATCGACAAGATAGTTCTCCATGGGGCGCGCTTGCCCTCTCCGAGCTGTTTTCTTCATTTTTTTCGAAAAATTTTGAAATTTTTTGTCTTTATTTTAAAAAAAGTATGAGAAGTTGAAAGTTGCTTACTAATATGAGATAAGAGAAAATTTCGAAAAGATGCTAAGAAAAACGCTGAAAATTAGCAGAAAAAAGGCGGAACGTGTTTTTTTTTTTAATTTCACGTTTTTGTCAATTTTTAGCGCGCAATTTATTTGTATATTACCTTTTTAAGGCTTCTTAATCAAATTTGAATATCGAAAATTATTATTCAAGGGATAAATATGAAAAAAATGCAAAAAAGTCGTTTCAGGAACAATGTTGGCCTGTGCCCTTTGTATAGCCAACCCACAGGCTTGTCCGAATCCGCTTTGGTACACGGCTTTTTTTGTCTACTTCTTCATGTAGGTTTCATTTAGTTTATTTTTCATGATCTTTACTTTTTTTCTTACCTCTGTTTTTTTGTGCAGATTTATAACACCCAATCTTAAAAAAATGGAAATATTCGAAAAACGCGGTAAATAATTAAATATTTTTGGCGAATTTTTCGAGACTTTCAGGCTTAAAATATTAAAAAAACATTTTTGTGGGGGAAATAAGTAGAGAATCAGCTTTCAGCTCTCGCAATAATAATATGACATTCGATTTTCAAGAATGAAACTTCAAAAAAACCTTTTTTGACCGATTTCCATCGTCCTTGCAGTTCTTTATCCTTATGGAATGGCAATAAAAAGGAATTCTGCAATAATTTTTTTATTTTGAAACTTTTCCGTCATGATTTACCTGTTTCAAATTGAATTCCTTGAATTTTTTTCGGCTTGAGCGTATAGTTCAACTAAAAGAAAGTTAATAAAAACGTTCAGGAACTGAAAAAAATACGTTCCGAAGTACGAGAAAAGACCAAATTTTGATAAAGTGGTTTATTTAGAGGGTAAAAAAATTTTATAAACGTAAAAAAATAACGAGAATAATCTCTTTTACCCAGTTTATATAGATCTTATTTCAAAAAAATCAATAAAAAGAGAATAATTTTTTTCTGATTTTTGAAGCCATTTTAGTCCACTATTAAAAGCCCATAAATTGTCAGAAAAAAACATATAAAAAAATCGAGAAAATAATCGAAAAATACGATTTTTAGGCTAGAATAACTAATTTATCCTCATTAAAAATTCAAAATTTCAATTTCTCTTGATTCCAGCTTACGGAAGAAACTTGTCAGTCCTCTTTATTTCAACTCATAAATTTTCAAAATTCACTAAAATTCAAAAATTTTCCAGGAGCACATGCAGGAGATGTACCCAGTTCCACAGGAAGGCTCATCTTCCCCAAAAATGAGTGGTTTACGGGCTCAAATGAGAAATCACGTGGCCCAAAGTACGATAGCTTCTGATGACGGTACCAGGGCTACTGTGAGGTACGGTATTCTCCGAAAAATGTGCAAATTTAGCTGAAAATCGGTCAAAAACGTGTTGAGGCGCCTTTAAAAAGTTCATAGACTCTCAGTTTTTTTCGAATTTTTTTGGGAAAAATTTAGTTTTCCATAGAAATAGTTCATGAAGAAAAAGCTTTATAAGGTGCTAAAAAAATGCAAAAATTTATCAAAAGGTAAAAATGACAATGAAAAAAAGGGTTTCGCCTCAAGACCTTTATAAAATGACCTTATGCTCCTTTAATAACGAAATAGTTAAAAAGTTTTTTTGACAAGAAAAACCTTAATATATTGAATTTTATTGTATAAGGATAAAGAAACTACACTAAAAAAATAAAAAACCAAAAAAAACTAGAAAAAAAACTCCCCGAGATCAAAAAATTTGACCTCTCCTGAAAAAATTTTGACCATATTTTTTCAAGGAATTTTTTCAGAATTGGAAAAATTGGGTAATAAAAAACTGAAAAATATCTAATTTTTTGCGTCTCTAGTCTGATTTTTGGAAGATTTTTTGATTTTTGAACCGTTTTTTGTGGACTTTTTGAAGTATGAAAAAATCGTGTTAGCCAAAAAAAAAAGGTTTCGTGAGAAATATGGGCTAAAATGTTCCTTTTTGTATTATTATTAAAAAAATAATGACCTTTTTTTATGGCTTAAAAAAACGGAGATTTTTGTCAAAAAAATAAGGTTTCGATCGTTTCTTTTTTTGTATTCTCAATGAGGATTATTATAAAAATTTAACTTTGTACATTTTTTTCCTTCTCTATGGAAAAATAAACTAGTTTCTTTTTCCAGGAACGAGTCAAGGGCAACTGTGGCGATGTTGGCGCCAGCCGTTCACATTATGCATCAGGTTCATCTTCATTTTCAATATTTTCAATCGAATCAACTTTTATAACAACAACTACATGAGCTTCTGAAACTTTTAGTTCAGGTTTTGACAGGCTCCGCCTCTTTTGTGGATTACTGTAGCCGAAATATGAAAAAAATCTAACTTTGTTCTCCATGGTCCAAATCGAATGAAACTTTTTTTAAACGAAAGCCAGTGCCAAAATAAACATTTTTTGTATACCAACTTTCTTTTGAATATTTTTTTCAATTCGAAAAAATTTGTTTTTCATTGAAAATCGCGCATTTTTTTCAGTTTTTTTGAGGTTTTAGGCAGGAAGAACCTCCCGATCCATGAAATTTTATTTTTTTTAAATTCATGTTGCTTTTTTCGAGCTCATACTTTCATTACAACAACTACATGGGCTTCTGAAACTCTTAGTTAAGGTTTTGACAGGCTCCGCCTCTTTTGTGGATTACTGTAGCCGAAATATGAAAAAAATCTAAATTTGTTCTCCATGGTCCAAATCGAATGAAACTTTTTTTAAACGAAAGCCAGTGCCAAAATAAACATTTTTTGTTTACCAACTTTCTTTTGAATATTTTTTTCAATGCGGAAAAAAAAATACTTTTCATTCAACTTCTGCAGTGACCACCTTAATTTAGCTATTTTGTTCCTTATAGGGGCTTTTTTTTCCCTAACCCTATAGTGTCCATTCTGGCGTTCCTAAGTTCAAAACTGGGAATAACAAAGGTCTCGAAACGAAGTTAGACTTGGCATACGGTCATTCTAGGCAAAAATAAACAAGGGTAGCTGGTCACAACAAAAGTTATTATATAGCCTTAGGAACGCCAGAATGGACACTAGAGAGGTTACGGAAAAAGCAGCCCCTTTAGGCCTGCATTTAATTTTTCGCTATAGGATTTCAAGGGCTGATTTCCGAGATTATAAATTCTGAGTGGTCCCTTTAGTGATATTTTAATTTTTGTTCTAATTCAACTTGATCGACCACTAGCAGGCTCCCCTAGAGTGGACACTTTTGTAAGCTTCAGCCCTCCTATTTTAAGGAAGCCACTCTAGTGACCACTCAGAGCGCAAAGGGGCGTGGCTCTCTAAAAACCAGGCGCTGCTTTGTTTTTTTCAAAATCGTGTCAAGACCCATTTTTCGATTTTTATAAAATTTCCCTTTTTCTAGGTTTGGAAAGGGATGGCCTGGGTGACAGACGGAATCGAAGAAGAGGACGAGGACACCCGAATGTCCCAATACGACAAAATGGAACAGGTAAAAAATTATTGATTTTATTGATTTTATCCATTTTTTTCCAGGGAACTTCCGATGAAACCCGATCGAATAGTGCCGTCAAAAGGCTTTCGACGATTGCCGAGAGTAGTTCTTGTATTTTACGGGAAATTGTGGGTTTTTTGAGTACAGTAGAGCGAAATTGCTCACTTATTCGATTTAAAAATGAGAAGGCCTTCTGAGGGAATTCTGAGGGGTCCCTATAGGGGTTAGGGGCCGAAAAAGTGGTCCCTACTGTGGTTAAATCAAGGTGGTCCCTATAGGGGTTCAGGGTCTGTCCTCATAGTCCCTAAAGCTTAAGTGGTCCCTATAGGGATAAAATCAAGGTGGTCCCCATAGAGTTTAGGGTCTGTCCCAATAGTCCCTGAAGTTTAAGTGGTCCCTATAGGGGTTAGGGGCCGAAAAAAGGTCCCTACGGTGGTAAAATCAAGGTGGTCCCTATAGGGGTTCAGGGTCTGTCCCCATAGTCCCTAAAGCTTAAGTGGTCCCTATAGGGGTTTTCAAAGACTTTTTTCAGTTCTCAGAACGTCAGAAAAAAACTTCAACTCTACTTTATTCCAGTACTTTTAAAAACCCTTGAAGGACCTCTTGAGAATCTCATTTTTGAAACTTCTCGATTTTCACTTCCCCAGCTACTCCATCAAGTCCACCAAAAATTTTGTGTTTAACATTCGAAAAACGGAATCGAACCCTTAAGGGACCACTGAAACGTATTTTTCCAGGTTTTCAAGCAAAAATCTTCAGAAAAAAAAACCCTTTAGGTGCCACTAAACGGCTTTTTTCATTCTAGCAACTATTCCACATGTTTTGCCAAGTGAAAACATTAATTACAATATAAGCTAGCCCTTAAGTGACCACTTAGGCTTCAATTTTGTAGTTTTGAGACTTTTCAACTTTTTAGAGTCTTTATCAAGGTAAAAAATGAATTTGAACCAACTTTTTCACTTCTTAAAATGTTAAGTGGCCACTTTAGGGTTTTGATGTTTTAAAGGCCACTATAGCAGTTAATCTAGTGGCCACTCAAGTGGTTTAAAATGAGTGGCCTCTTTAGGAGTCTTGGTGGTACGGCTAGATCACTATAGTGGCCACTAAGACGCAAAAAAGCGGCTTCTATAGATGGAGTTTTAGTGGCGCTTTAGTGTCTCCTCCAAGTGGTCCTTGAGAAACCTTTAAAACTTTTTCTCAGTGCATCTCTGGCTTTTATTTTCTTACAAAACGCTCAAGTGACCCCTTAAGAAATTCACATTTTTCAGCCTCAAGACGAAATTTTTCTCGCTTCAAATATATATATTAAAATGATAGGGATCACTTTAGGGTTTTGACGTTGGCCACTAAATTGATCGATTTAGTGGCCACCCAAGTGGTTTAAATGAGTGGTCTCTTCAGGAGTTTTTAAACTGTGGTACTACTAGACCACTATAGTGGCCACTAAGACGCAAAAAAGTGGCTTCTATAGAGGGAGTTTTAGTGGCCACTTTGGGGTCCTCTACAAGTAGTCCTTAAAGAACTTTTGGCTACCAGATTTTTCCTAGTTTATCTTTAGGAAGTCCAGAGTGGTACTTTCAGAGAAAACCTTGAAGGCTCTCGAAGAGTCCCCTGTAATGATCACTTCACCAACCCCTATAGGGTCTAAAGCTTGCAAAAGTGGTCCCTAAAGGGGCTTCAATTAGTGTGCCGATTTATAATTATACGAATAAAACTGTAGGCCCCTATAGGGACCACTCAAGTCAGACTCCAAACTCCTTTAAGGACCACCTTAATTTAACCCTATAGAGACTACTTTTCGGCCTCCACAAGGGCTGTTCCACCCCTAGCCCCTAAAGGGACCACTCAAGCTTTAGAGGCTAAGGGGTCAGACCCTGAACTCTTTTAAAAGAGCACCTTGATTTCCCCCTATAGGGACCACTTTTTCGGCCTCCGTAGGGGCTGTTTCCCCCTAACCCCTTATAGGGACCATTTTAAAACTCCTGAGTCTCTCTGAATTTTTCTTCCTATAAAACGCTCAAGTGACCCCTTAAAAAAATCACATTTTTTTCAGCTCCAAGACGAGACCAACAGCAGTGAGATCAACTCGCGGAACGACGTTAATTTGTGACCTCAGAAATAGATTTTTTTTTTTTCAAGTCTCTATGTATTTTCCCTGGGATTCAACGGGTCATCAGCCATGTGATCAACGATTTTTTCAATAAAATGTTCGAAAATGAAAAATTTACTTTCTTATCAAATGAAGTAGAAAAAAAGAAGGCAGAGAAATACAAATGAAAGAATTTTTCTTAATGAAAGCCTTGATGAAAAAAATAGCCATCCAATGGTGAAAAAAATTACAAAAAAAGGGTAAAGCTAGGAAGAAAATTACAACTATACAATACTCGATGGGAAATACGCTTTTTTTATCACGTGGCAGTGATTTTTTGTTCATTTTTGGAAATTTATGTACAAAATAAGGCATTTTTTTTGAAAAATTTTGGTGGGAAAAATTTTTTTTGGAAACGAAAATTTCTACCGAAAAAAGTCTTTTTTTGGTCGCCAGGACAATTTTTTTCCGTTTTTTTAGTGACTTTTTTTTTTTTTAAAGGTCGATTTTTAATAATTAAATATAAAAAAATATGTACAAATCTCACTGAAAAATCCCACCAAAAATGCCATTTTTTTCCACCATTTTTTTGAAACTGCCACGGTTTTATCGAGAATTTTTTTCCAATTTTTTCGATTCTACAGTATTTTAAACAAGATCGGATAAAAATTGGGTCCTGAGACGAAAAAAATTACAAAAAAAGAAGTGATCTAGAAACTTTTTTACACGCGAAAATGTGGTTAGGTAGTTCAAACTATGTACAACTAGAGGGCGACTTTTTTTTTCTACAAATACAAAAATTGTACAGTATACGATACAGAATAAATACCAAGAGGGGGGATTTTTAGAAAAATTTTTTTGAGGTCCAGCTCATTTTTTTCTCTCTCTCCAGATCACTCGATATTGTTGACTTTGCGGTCGTTGTTCCGGCCGGAGCTCAGTTTTCCGGCGGCTTTTTTCGACCGCGTCTTGGCTTTCGCGTCGAGACCCGCTACCGTAGTCAGCCGTTTCGAGAGTTTCACGTCGGGCTGCGTCCAGCGGCTGCTGGGGCTTGGGATGAACGACGCGTCGTCGTCGAACAACTGCAAAAATCTTGGATAATGTTTTTTTTTTGGTGAGATTTAAAGGAGCAGCGGTTAGCCTTCTGTTTGAAAATAGTCAATTTGAAAAAAAATCATAATTTTTTCAACTTCAGAAAAGCTTCCCTTGAACCTGGAACGCTTTAAAATAACAAAAAACAACAGAAAATGCCTTTTTTTAAAATTCTACTTTCAAAACGATCTTTTTGAGGATTCTAATTCGATGAAAATCGTTCCGAACTTACGGAAAACTCAAAAAAGCCAAATTTAAGATTTAAAAAATTTATTACTTCAAAATTCCTTGTGAAATATTGAAAATTGAAAAAAAATTTTGCGACAAAGACACATTTTCATAACAAATTTTGAAGTTTGAAGCTCAAAACTTAAGCCCCGCCTCTATCAGCCATTCCAAATGCGGTCAGAAGGAGCAAATTTGAAACCAAAATGGATCTTGTCACCTTATCAGTTGTGAAACTTCAGTGACAAGTTTTTTCGTGACCCCTGCCCCCCAAGTAAAACTCCACAGCTTGAAGTCAATCCCCCTAGTTACTCCACAACTTAAAGTCCCTCCCCCCAGTTAAACTTCACAGCTTAAAGTTAACCCCCGATAAAATTCTACAGCTTAAGTTTAACCGCCCCCCCTTCTCGTTATACCTCACAGCTGAAATTTAGCCCCCTCGCCCCCCCTAGTTACTCCACAACTTAAAGTTAAACCCCTCCCCCGATCCCCGATAAAATTCTACAGCTTAAGTTTAACTGCCCCCCCTTCTCGTTATACCTCACAGCTGAAATTTAGCCCCCTCGCCCCCCCTAGTTACTCCACAACTTAAAGTTAAACCCCTCCCCCCGATCCCCGATAAAATTCTACAGCTTAAGTTTAACCGCCCCCCTCCCCCCGCCGATTAAATTCCACAATTTCTTAGTCAAAAAAATCCTAATTTTTCACACCAAGACAGCGCGATGTTTCGGACCGAGATTAATGGTGGTTTTTCGTGTCGATGACAGGTGAATCGGAGAATAATTGGGCCGCCCGTCGGCCCCTCCTAATGAGCCCCTGTCATCTCAAAACACTCGGCTCGTTTTTCAACCCTTAATGTTTATTGTTTGGGTGGGGGATTAGGAAGGACAATGGGTAGTTTAGAAGAAAGTTTATCGCATCGTTCACTAAATGGCCTCTAGGGACCACTTTAGCAACTCCTATAGGGGCCACTAAAGCTTGGAAAAGTGGTCCCTATAGGGGACATGCTTGTTATAAACTCTATGCGAAGAAGCATTTCCACACGAAACATTTAAAAAAAGCAAGCTTTTTATAAAATTAAATTGAAGGACCCCTATAGGGACCACTTAAGCTTTAGGGGCTAAGGGGTCAGACCCGAAATCCCTATAGAGACCACTTAGATTTTACCCCTATGGGGACCACTTTTCTAGCCCATTATGGGGCTGTTTGTTCCCCTAAACCCTAGAGGGACCACTCTGAAATTCCTAAGATCCTTCTGTCGGAAAATCCTCCAAGTGACCGCTTGACTAAAGGGTCAGGCTCTAAACCCCTATAGGAACCACTTTTTCGGTCACTAGAGTGATTTCTCTCCTAACCCCTATGAGGACCACTCTGGAATTCCTGAGTACTTGGACCTCGTTCCGGACGTTTCTAGTGATCTCTTTAGCGGCCTCAGCCTTTTTTTTTTGTTTTTCGATTTCTTAAGTTTTCACTTGACGTATTCTCACTCAAAAATATAACTAAAAGAAAGCTTTTTTTGCGTCTGAGCCATACGCGCTCCACTGCGAATCTCCTCTATTCCTTCACAAAAATGAAAAATGAACGAGTCGCACTTTTATTTTCAAAGCCATTTTTTGCTAAGCAACCGCGCTCCAGGGCTAAAAATGCTAATCACGAACCGCTCGTTGCAACTGCAGCTTCTGGGCGTTTTTGACCTTGGCGAGCCGTAGTTGCTCGGCTTTCCGGATGGCGTCGAGGGTCGGCGGCGCCGTCGGCTTGTTCGACGTCATCGAGAGCTCGTCGATGTCCCGGACGTCCGGGAACGGCACCATCACCGGCGAGCTTCGGCCCGAGGACAAGTCTGCAAGATTGGAATGATGGAAATGACTAATTTCTGCTTGAAAATTGGAAAATACGAAACTTTTCCTGTCAAAAAACTGCCAATTTTTCTCAAGGTTCCGAAAAAATCTACTCAGGAACACCAGAGTGGTCACTTAAGGGGTTAGGCAAGAAAAAAGCCACTGTAATGGACAAAATATTGCTTTATGAGAAAGCCACTGCAGTGGACAAAAATCCCTAAAAATTAAGTGGCCCCTATAGGAGTTTAGGATGTAAATTTTGAGTTCACAAAGTTCAAGGGGTCCCTATAGTGATTCTCCAGTTTATAGTCCTGATTTGAGAGTTAAAAAGACGTCTAGACATCATGCTCCCCTGGTTTACAAAATTTGGATACTCAGGAACAGCAGAGTGGTCACTTAAGGGGTTCGGCAAGAAATGGAAAAAATATTTCTCTATGAGAAAGCCACTGTAGTGGACAAAAATCCCTAAAAATTAAGTGGCCCCTATAGGAGTTTAGGATGTAAATTTTGAGTCCCTAAAGTTCAAGTGGTCCCTATAGTGGTTCTTCAGTTTATAGTCCCGATTTGAAAGTTACAAAGCCATATAGGGGCCACTAAAGGGGTTAGACAGGCCCCTATAGGGAACACTAGCATGCTCCCCTGGAGTGGCCACTTCTGATCAACTACAAGTGCCCCCTATAGGAGAAAGCCTCTGAGGTTATCCCTCTAGTGACCACTTTGGCGTTCTTAGGAACTCCAGAGTGGCCCCTATAGGGGTCACGGCGAAAATAGCCCTTTAAAGGGACAAAAAACTGGTCTAAAAAAGATTTTTTTGTCGAAAAATTGCTCATCAAATTCGCTCCATTGATAACATTAAATTACCGTCATGAACGTAGTACCAATCGTCCTCGATGCTATTCGTGTTCTGACGGGCGGTCGTCGTCGACGGCACGCACGATTCTTCAAGGGATCCCTGAAGTGATAATATTGAAAAATTTCTTTTTTCCAACTTTTCACACTTTAATATGAACATAAGAATGTACCAATTTTTTTAAGTGCGGAAAAAATGCGAAAAAATTTTTCTAACTGAAAAAGTGTACTTAGGGGACTGTTAAGATTATTAAAAAGTTCAAAAATTTTTAAATAAAATGATGGATTTTTTTCATATCTCTGGGCATCCAAGGCTCAAAAAAATGGGAAAATGATTGAAATTTCAACATTTCGTATAGTTTCCTGCAAAAAAATCCCTATTTTTTTGATAAAATTTTCGTTTTTCTCAACGCTGCTGACTCCGAAAAAATGGTCTAATTCCAAGAATTTTTTTATAAATTTTTCAAAATGTGCAAATTTCCAACGATATTTTTCATTCTTGTCGTCAATTTTCATTTTTCTCAACATTTCGTATAGTTTCTTGCAAAAATCCCTATTTTTTTGACTAAATTTTTCATTTTCTCAACGCTGTGAGTTCCGAAAAAAATCGTTGAATTTCAAGAAATTTTTTTGAAACTTTTTTTCAAAATTTTTTTCAGAATATACAAGTTTCATTTCATTTTCAACGAAATTTCTCATTCTTTCCGTCAATTTTCATTTTCTCAAACCTGTGAGCTCGAAGTGGAGGAAGACGTGGACGACGACGTCGAATCGTTCGAGTCTTCCGAGCCGAAAATGTACTCGTAGATACCGGTGAGCATCTTGAAGTGTTCTTGTTAGTGGAGGGGATGAGAAGCTTCTGGAAAAAAATGGAATAAAAAATTGAAATTTGAGGCCAAAACAGTGAAAAAAAAACGGCGCGAAAACGAGGGAGGTATAAAAAAAAAGATCAAAATAGGGTCGATCAAAAAATGAATGGGAAGAAGGAGAGAGAAAAAAAATAAATTATTATGACTCGTCTCAAATTTCGAAGCTCAGCTTGGAGTTGGTCAAGCAGGACCGAGAAAAGTTTAAAAAGTGAAGCTTCAGGGGGGCAGTCATGAGATAATGAGATAATACTTTAAGGTACCCCCAAATCCTTGAAAAGAAGCTGAAAGGTACCTCCAACCTGCTCAGCAAGTTCCTCTTAGTCAACACAAACTCATAAAACTCTGAAGACTAAAAAAAACCCATCACAGGCTCATAAACACCCCCGGAGGCTGCACCAATGAAAAAAATAAGCCCCCCCCGCCCTCAGCTTTCAGATCGTATGTCCAACCAGTTCTGAGCCTCAAAAATCGTCTTGACTTACTAGAACCCTGTAAACCCTTTGAAGGTCTGAAAAGACCCATGAAAGGTCCATAAACAGTTCGAAAGCTGTTTCAATGAAAAAAATAAGCCCCCCCCGCTTCGAGGTCAACCGATTTTTGAGCCAGTAAAGTGGTTTTGGCTAACTGTATTGGTCTCTAACCTTAGAGCTTTTGAATTCAGCTGTGCTTGAAGCTGGAAAGACATCTTAACCAAGCTGGAACCAGGACCAACAGCAGTCATGAGGCACTGGAGAATGGGGGAAAAAGTATCGATTGGTGGAATTGAAGGGGCTAAAAACCGGCAAATGGTCCATATAGGGTTCTACATCTTTCCAGCAGGATTTGAAGCAGAAAAGTCACCTTAACCAAGTGGAACCAAGACCAAGAGAGTGGCAGTCATGAGGCACCGGAGAATGGGGGAAAAAGTATCGATTGGTGAAATTGAAGGGGCTAAAAACCGGCAAATGGTCCATATAGGGTTCTACATCTTTCCAGCAGGATTTGAAGCAGAAAAGTCACCTTAACCAAGTGGAACCAAGACCAAGAGAGTGGCAGTCATGAGGCACCGGAGAATGGGGGAAAAAGTATCGATTGGTGAAATTGAAGGGGCTAAAAACCGGCAAATGGTCCATATAGGGTTCTACATCTTTCCAGCAGGATTTGAAGCAGAAAAGTCATTTTAACCGCCTGGAGCCAGGACCAAGTGGAAAAGTGTAGCTAGGGGGCGCAAAGCCCCCCTTCATGCCACCAAAATGAAGATTTTTTTGTTGCAGAAACGGTTTTGAGGCGTTTATACTAACTAAAGTTCTATCTTAAAAAATAACTATTTCTGAAAACTTATGAAATCGACAACGCTCTACAAGACGGAATCTTTTTGAAACCATGTATTTTTCATAAATAAGCGAAAAAGTAGGACTTAACTCGAAAAAAACTGACAAGTTTCACAAAATCGTCGCGTTTCAGAAAACCAAGTGAGGAACGCTTCTAAATTTTGAGTGTGTTATACATTAACACTTTCTTTATTTTTTGAGTAAAAATTTAAAAAAATCTAACGACGCGAAAAAAAAATCAAAGCTTGTAAAGTGACACCAAACTTTGAAGCTGAAATGCGAAAAAAAACTTCAGCGACATGGTATACTTTTTTTATTTGATTTAAAAAAACTCACAATGTGTTCAAAAATAAAAAAATTCAGAATGAAAAATAATTATTGGGACAGTGAATCAAATTAAATTTGGATTTTACCAAAAACCTCCTTTTTTTCGCCTGCCCTCGTTGACGCATGAGAGAATAGGATCGCGCCTATACTTTTTGTTTATGTTATTAAGCGTTCAAAAACTCTATCAATGAAAAAAATTATGAAAAAAATCAAACGACGCGAAAAAAATAACGGCTTTGAAAAACCTCGAAAAAAATGGCAACTTTTTTTGAAATTTTGGAAGATTCCGTGCAAGTGTCCGTAGCAGTGTTTGCGTCAAACACACCGATGCGCACTTTTTAAATGTCGCAGGAGCCGTTTTTTTCGGAGTCAAATTGCACGTTTTCCTATTTTATTTCGAAATAACATTATTTTTTTCATTTTTTTCTTTTTTTCAAACCAAATGATAATAATTTTTTTCTCATTAGAAAAAAAGAAAAAAATAAGCTGAAAAATTCCTTCTGACCTTTTTTTCTAAGTAGTTTTTTTGATATTTTATCAAAAAAATTCTTATGAGGATTGTACAAAAAGATTCATACCAAAACATGAAGCTCAGTCCGGACAACCTCTCAGAGCAGAAAACCGATTTAAAAACGGTCCTGAAACGCGCAAAAACAATTAAAAAGAAAGCGTGCGGCAGCGGGTAAACCGTGAGATTTTGCCTCCAGTTGAACGCCGCGCGCGCTCGTTTTTTGGCCATAACTTTTTTCTTAGTGGAGCTTTTTTCTAAAACTAAATGGAATATGAAAATGGACAGTCTCCTCTATCGAACAGTGTGAAAAAGATATTTTTTGGATCGTTTTGAAGAAATGGCTTGCGGACCCTAAGTGTAGCCTCAGCGGCAGTCATGAGGATCACCTCGACTCGCTAATAACTGAAGGATGGGAAAAAGTACCGATTGGTGAGCTTGAAGGGGTTAAAAATCGGCTAAGGGTCCATATGAGGTTCTACATTCTTCCAGCAGGATTTGAAACTGAAAAACCATCTTAACCAACTGGAACCAGGATACCAAGAGAGTGGCAGTCATGAGGTACCGGAGAATGGGGGAAAAAGTAACGATTAGTAGACTTGAAGAGGTTAAAAATCGGCTAGGGGTCCATATAAGGTTCTACACCCTTCCAGCAGGATTTGAAGCAGAAAAGTCACCTTAACCACCTGGGACCAGAAACCAGAATGGTTCATCTAAGGTCCTCTAACCTTCCAGCTTTAAATTGGAGCAGAAAAGCCATCTTAACCACCTGGAACCAGGACCAAGAGAGCGGCAGTCATGAGGTTCAACTCGACTGGGGAAAAAGTATCGATTGGTGAACTTGGAAGCCGAGACGAGAGCGAAGACACAAACAGAGGCCAGAACAAAAGCCTGTGGAGAAGGAGAAGAAAAAAGAGGAGGAGGAGGAGGATCACGTGAGCGGTCCGCCCCGGCGTCGGTAGAAGAGGCGTGGCCGAACGGTCTTAGAGAGCGCTGGATCTGAGGAGGGTGTCAGAGAGGTCAGATCCTTCCCAAGCCGAACGCTGCACCCCGGAATTGGGCACAACGCCAGGGTCTTGTGATCTGGCCAACTAATACCTTAAAAATCAAGATTTTGACGTTTTTCAATAAAATCAACACAAATTGGTCGTTTCGAAAAGAGAATTTTTTAACTTTGGAACCAAAAATCTACCGAAAAAAGAAGATCTTGAGAATTTTCATGAAAAGAACTTGATGAAAAATTCCGCCAATTTCCTGAAAATCTGCTTGGAAATTCCAGAGTGGTCCCTATAGGAAAAAATCCCAAAAGTGGTCCCTACAAGGTTTAGGGGTGAAAACAGCTCCTATATAGACCGAAAAAGTGATCCCTATAGGGGTGAAACCAAGGTGGTCCCTATAGGGATTTAGGGTCTGACCACTTAGCCCCTAAAGCTTGAGGGGTCCCTATAGGGGTCTCTGAAATTCATTCAGAAAACGCCTATTTATTCAGTTTTCCGCATGGAAATGCTTCACAACAATTATCGACTATCATGCACCCTATAGGGACCACTTTACCTATTTCGACTTTTTCTGGTTCGAAAAGGATTTATAATACTATTCAGGTAAAGAAGAACTAATTTCAGGAAAAATAATAATATTCCCGATTTTAGACACGGCCTCAGAAGAAAAGAACAATACATTCAGCATTTTTTCGGCCCTTTTTGAATGTTTCGAAAACGTCGTTGCGCCGCAGTTTCAAAGCATGATGTAATACGGAATTCGGGGAGAAGAGAAGAAGAAAAAATTGGGGTTCTCACAGTTTCCAATTCGCTTTCAAAGTATGGGATTTTTTTCAAATACTACTGGGAATATTTTTAGTGGAAACTATAGGGATTTGATGTTTTAGCGGCCACTATAGTAGTCAAATTAATGGCCACTTAAGGGGTTAAAACATTAGTGGCCACTATAGAGGTTTAAGTGCGATTATCAGACCCTTAGTGGCCACTTTAGGGGTTAATGGATCAACATAACTGGTCCAATCTGTTTGTTTTAAAATTATCAGAGTTACTGGAAGGAATACTGGATGAAAAACTACTGAAGTGGACACTAAAACGGAACATAGTGGCCACTATAGAGGTGGGTTTAGTGGCCACTTTAGTGTCCTCTCCAAGTAGTCCTTGGCAAGCCTCCGACCACTAAAAATTTCCCCAGTATGAGATATTTCTTTGGAAGAAAATCGCCAAAAACTTTTTTCATTCTAAAATTTCCAACTGAATCGGATCGGAGCCCATTTTATTGCCAATAAAAGTCGAAATCTGGTCACGAAAAAATTATAGTACAATGTGGGCAAACAAGGCCACATAGGGACACTGGAAGGACTGAGAAAAAGGCGTTCGTCTTGGAGAGGCCAGTTTTTTTGGGGCCGATCAGCTGATCGGAGTCTGATCGGGAGGGTTCAAAAGCTCATAAATCGGTAGGAATGGACCATTTTCGGGCATTTTATCGATTGGGAGCTGCAGCTTGGACATTTGGAACATTTTCGAAGTGTAATACTTGAAAATTCGAGTATTTTTGGACCAAACAGCTGATCAAGTGGGTCAAAAGCTCATAAATCGGTAGGAATGGACCATTTTTGGGCATTTTATTGATTGAAGCTACAGTTTGAAGCTTCTGAGACTATTTTGAAACATTAAAATTTAAATTTTCAAGTAGTTTTTTTGGAACGATCAGCTGATCTAGAAGTTTCAGAAGTTCAGGAATCGTAAAACTATTGATTTTTGGGTCTTCAAAGGCCAATTTAGCCGATTTTTCGAACTTTTCTGTGTAAAATTTAGCTTTTGATGTGATCGAAAAGGCTTGAAATTGAATGAACTGTGAAAATTACTTATTTTTGAGCTTTGAATTTGGATTTTAAACGTTTAATTACTTGAAAATGTAGTTTTTGGACCGATCGGCTGACCTAGAAAGTTAGAAAATTAATAAATCGCGAAAAAAAAACTTTTTTTGAGCTCTGGAGTAGGCGGAAAATAAATAAAATGATCATCCGATTTTTCAAAAAATCTATTTTTGATCAAGGTTGCTCCAAGGCTAATTAATGATTGATTTTTGAAGTTAAACGCGCCCTAGAGATTCCAGAATGGTCCCTAAAGGGGTTAGGGGATTAAACAGCCCTTAAAGGGGCCAGAAATGTGGTTCCTATACGGGTTTAGGGTCAGACCCCTTGGCCCCATAAAGCTTAAGTGGTCCCTTTAGGGGTCTTTCAATTTTATTCATTCAATTTTTCTCATGGAAATTTTTCTTCGCATAGAGTTCATAAATTTATCGACTAGCATGTCCCCTACAGGGACCACTTTTGCAAGCTTTAGTGGCCCTATAGGAGCTTGTTAAGTGGTCGCTGGAGGGGAATATCAAAAGGGGCTTTTTTTTCCGAAAATCAGACATTTGGGAGCAAAAAACGACCGGTTATCTTATCACAAATGACCTTGTTTTTGGTAGCCGACGGTTTTTTTCTTTTTCGTCTGATAAGCCTTGATCAAGACATTTCGGCCAGCTGATAAGCTATCAAAATCTTTTTTGACATATTATAAAGCCTCAAAAAGGAAATCACGTCGTTTTAGTACAAATTTTCGATGGAAACTGGAGATTTTCGCTCAGATTTGGAGTCATAAAACTCTTATTTTCCTTTAAAAGCACAATTGGGCCATAAAAGCGAACCTTTTTAAAGTGCGGATGTTTTTTTTTCGGAGAAAAATGGGGAAGAATCCGGAACTGACGTGGAGAGACGACAGTTGGCGGCAGGGTCAAAGTGTGATTTTTTTTTCTCAGTTTTTTCCCATCTTTTCTTTAAGATTGATGGGAAAACCTTGGGTTTACAACAAAAATCATATGAAAAACCCGTTTTTCATTTAAAAAATCATTTTTTTTTCTGATAAAAATTGAAAAAATGGCATCAAACTTCATTTGCAATGAATATATATGTACATAAATCCTAGAAAATGGGGATTTTTCTTGGATTAAGCTTGACATAAGGCTACGTCCGACCGAAAAACATCATCCGTACTTTAAAAAAATTGGCAGAGGTCCAAAAGATCATTTCAAGCGATTTTTTTCAAGTTAAAAGGCAAAAAAACTTTAAAACGTCTTAAAAAAACCCTTTTTTTCGATGGGAAAAAAATAAACTTTTTTTAAGATTTTTTTCCATTTTTCTAGAGGCTCTAGGGACTTTGAAAAATCAATAAAAAAATCCAAAAAAAAATTTTTTCCAAGCGATTTTTTTCAAGTTTCAAGGCGAAAAACCTTCAAAAAAACGTTTCAAAAAAATATTTTTTTCAGTGGCCAAAATTTATTTTTTTCAATACTTTTTTTAATTTTTTTCTAGAGCTACTTGATATTGAAAAAAATTAATAGAAATTCCAAAAAAATGTTCGAAAAAAAGTCCAATGTAAAAAGCTACTTTTAAAATGATGAAATCAAGGATTTTTTTCTTCATTTTTCAATTTTTTTCTCACTGGATTTCTTCTAAAAAAATCTAAAAAAAGCAAAAAAATGAGAAAAAGGTCATTCCCAAGCGGGGGGCCGAACAGGTGGCCACACAGCGTACCATTTGGCTCCTTTTCTACTTCTTTTGAGCCTCCGCCCCCCGAGAAATCTCTCTCTGCGATTGCCGAGAATGATGCAAGATCAACGCGATTAGGCGTCCATAATTGCGTTTCTCAGGAAAAATGACATTATCCAATTTCCGCGTCTACTCATTAAAGGGAAAGTACCATTTTTCCAGAAAAAGCTATGCATACACTGCCAAAGTCGGAAGTGCGGAAAACGGGTGCAAAAAGGGAGTGACTGCAAAATGGCCGCTAAAAGGGTCCCTTTTTACGGCCTTCATTGAGCCTTTCATTTTTGGTGGGTTAAAAAGGGTCATAAAAGGGCGAAAAAAGGGAGAGGCCGCGAAAAGGGTGAAGAAAGAGTGGGGGTTCAAAAAGGTTCTGAAAGTCTCTGTTATTGATGATTTCCGATGTTATTACTGTAGCTTATTTCGGTTCATACGCAGTCACTTGTAAAGATTATTCTCAATTAAAAATTGTATTTCTCAAAAAGGGTCCAAAAGGGTGGATGAAGGCCGGTGAAAGGACGCAAAAAGGCAGTAAAAAGGAAACCGTTTAGGAAAAATTTCCGGAAACAGACGGATCCGTAACGGACGCTCAAAGGGCCCGTGAAGGGTCATTCCGGCTTTGCCTATGAAAGGTCCTTCCGACAAAAAAACAAACGAACAAACGTGACCTTGCAAAAAAACTGCTTGGTTTTTACATATTCCAATGGATTTTGCTGACAAATTGAAGAAAATTTAAATAAAAATTCAAAAAAAGGTTTTACTCCTTTTCCTCCACTACCAAAGTCTGAAGAGCGGAAAACGGGTGCAAAATGGCCGCTAAAAGGTTTCCGTTTTGCGGCCTTTATTGAGCCTTTTCTGCTTGGTGGGCTAAAAAGTTTCAAAGAGGGTCCAAAAAGGGTGCTAAAAGTGTCCAAAAAGGGTGCAAAAAGGGTGCAAAAAGGGTGCAAAAAGGTTGCAAAAAGGGTGCTGAAAGTCTCGGCCAATGATGATTTCCGATTGTATTACTGTAGCACACTTTGGTTCATACACAGTCACTGGTGAAAATTATTCTCAATTTAAAAACTTTGTGGTTCTCAAAAGGGTCCAAAAAGGATCAATCAATGGATCCTTTTGATCCGCTCAAAGGGCCCTAAAACCACCAATGAACCCTTGAAAATGGAAGTGAATGTTGGTTGGTGTACGAAAAGAGGAAGCTAAAAACGGGGGGATCGATGAGGCGACGCGTGGGGGTCTGGTCCGTTGTCGGAACGGAACGGGCCGCAGAAACGAAGAAGAAACAGCGCGGCTAGGAAACCGAGCCGCGCGGGACTCCCTTTTCGTCCCGCGGCGCGCTTCTCCAATTTCCAAGTCGGAGACCCGGATTAGGCGACACCCATGGAGGTTATTGATTCAACATTGTACAGTGGTTGGAAATAAATAAACAAAAAAAGAGAAAAAAATTTGAAAAAAATGATCATTTTGACACATTTTTTGCGAGCTAAAATTGCGTTGAAAAAAATTTTTTTTG